GCATAAAATATTTTTAACCGAAGCAGCAAGTAACAATTTGCAAGATAAAAGTGAAGAGTCTAACTGCCATGGCTAGAGTTGAAGAACTGATGTTCTGCTCATTTAACAAAACCATTGTTCCCATAACTTTTTACCTAATTACTATGGATTTATGCAAAAGTAACAGATATGGATCCAGGCCCGTCTTCCATTCATATATTATTGATTCTAATAATTCCAATATGCACAGATTTTGGATGTTTGTATGTATTCTAGGACAAAAATCATCTAGCTAGTTTTGACCTTAGAATATTATTCATTAAGTTTCCTAACAATTAGGATAACTATAGTAAATCATCAACCAGGTTGGTATAACTAGGAAATAATAGCTTTATATGTGGTGGGAGCATCGTCGAGCTCTAATCTCTAAAAGTTCAATGGTCAATTGAATCCACAAACAAATTTCACCATAACTAACCAAATAGGTTAACAGTTGACACCAGAAGAAAATGGCAGTGAGAAACTCCATTCGAACATATTCAGAAAAAAAACTATTAACAATTTACCTCAAACCAGCTGCAGCACTTCTCATACTTAGTTGCTTCCCAATTTCATCGCTCAAGTTGGAACTGCCATCTGCTCTTACTGCCTAAGCACGGATATTGAAATCCTTAGAGATATAAAGTATAGCATGTTCAAGCAAAAAACTTTGAACAAAAGGCTTGAAACTAATGATGTTCAGTATATAAAAGGTTCTTCGCTGGAAAAAAAACAAATGCAAAGTTGGAGAAGGTCTATACTTTACGAGTCCTGGAAAAAAAATTTGAAAGAAATTAGTTGAAAACACATCAAAACATGTTCTTACCAGGCACTCGCCATAAAGTCCCCTGCCCAGACGAATTTTGAAAGTCTTGTCTAGGAATTTGTTTGCAGCATTATCACAAGACGCAATAAAGTCATTTCCCTTGGCAATTAATTCCAAAGAATTCATCTCTAGCAGCTGCAAGAGTATGGTTCAGAGTTAATTTTATATCAAATACAGAAACCTAAATATTTTAAAGTGAAAGGCTGAAAGCTATAACTTGAAGGCAGAGAGAGGGAGAGGAAGATAGCAGCAGATCTATATTTCTACTGCTATATAATGTCAAACTAATGCACATAAGCAGCATTGCCTGAAATAAAAAGACAAACCATCCCTCAAAAATTAAAGGATGTCCTAGATATAAAAGTGCAGAGGTTAAAATGCTTTAATTTTTGTTCAAAAAATTAATTATTGATATTTTAGTTCAGATTATTTTGTATTTCCCGTATTTAGCTTGCACCTGGATATTAATTATTTTATTTCAGTCATATTCAGAATTCCAGTGATTTAAGTTTGTCTGCAGTTCCTAGCTGTCCCTGTTTTCTGAGTATCTATATATCTGTATCAGCTCCTAAAGTACTCACGAACTCTAGCACCCTACAAATACTACAAGGTGAACATGTTTACCTCCTGAAGAAACAACAAATATCAGCTTGTCAACTTCACAAAAAAGCAATCTTCCAGAAGTTGATAAATAGGCAAAACTACATTTATAAAGGACATTATAATACAAATGAAGTGGAAATGATCAACCAAAAATACAATCATGAAGTTGATAAATAGCCTAACCTTAAGTAGTATATTACCTAAAAGGTCTCCTTGATCATGCACACCCTTCAAACTCTTATTAGTTGCCCCCTAGAGCTGTGTTACCATACCACCTACCAATCCAAAAATGTTCTATTTTTCCTAAATTTGTCACTTCTTGCCTCTTTAAAGAGCAATTTCTCTCAGATGGTTTGTTTTTCTCCTGCGTGTGATTGTGAGTGGCCTTTCACATGTTCTTGTTTAAACTAAGATACTTGATTATGCATTTAGAAGATTCATGGAAGCTGGAGCTGCTCGTTGCATAATTGCCAGAGAGAGTGTTCTTGTCTGCGCTATTATCGATGAGCTGAATTAAGATTTTCAAATTGACGAGCTCTTCAAAGGTCCATATTTATAAAAACTCTCAAGTTTCTTAAGAGGTTGTTTAGTAGTTTAATGTTTGTTTTTGTTTTTTCATTGTGGATAGAAACAAGTTTATAAGTTATAGCAGATCTACCTGTAAACTTTTGACAGGTAAATGGTCAATTACATGTCCCTTCTCCAGGTAAAGGGTGAGATAAATTAGATTTGAATCAGAACCGGTTTTGCATTGTGCTAAACGGCATTAAAAACAAAGCTTAAAATTTCCTATAGAATTAATGGAAGATAAGTTGGCATTCCAGTTTATAACTAATTAAAGAAACAAACAACCTAGCTAGGATCAAGATATAAGAAAAATAGAGCTACAATTTTTTAGAACAGCCCAAACCTGTTCATACATGTATGGGTTAGTGATACAGTTCAATTTTGATCGCCACTCACTGAGCCCAATGTTGAATGCCCTAATACCAGGTAAGCTCCACCTTCGGAGATCCCCATCCTCAATGTACTTGAGAACCATTTCAACTCGACTTCTATCTTTCGGTTCTAGAAGGTCTGCAACAGAGCCCTGATCATGAGATGAGCGAAACAAAACAGTAAGCCAACATTCAAAATTCTCAGATAAAATTCTCAGATATTTTTTTATCTCGAGGAACAACCAAATGAGCTAATGAAACATGACTACAAGTACATTTTCACTTACACAAGGAGTTTCCATATCTACAAGTCTAGTGGAGAAATATTCATACACAGCTGCAGAGCTACTCTTCTCGAGATTTACATGAATTGACGTATTCTTAGTCTGATATTCTGTAGGGATAATCTGTGGAAGTGATGATTTACGGTGATCGAAACATAGGACCCTAATTCAATTAGCAAAATCAAGATTGCTCAATAAACCCGAATTATCTTCAAAATACAATTTTTTTTTAATTAAAGTGGATCGGAGATTACAGTGCAAAATCAACTTACTCACATGTGGGTCGCCGTGAAATGGTGGCAGCAAATCCCTTCGGACCCAAGAAGTCAAGAAAATAGCATCGCTCAAGCCCTTCAACATATAAATCATCAATCCTGTAAAATAGAAAAATAACAATAACAGAAGTTTGAAGCTGAATATAATAACTACTGCGTCCATAATTCAAGTGATATTCAGCTCTGAATGATTGAGTACTTTGTTAAACAACCAATCACTTAAAGCAGCATTAGAGACAGCGAGATCTTGGTGAAACAAGCGGAGGATTAAGAGAAAGCGATGGAACCTGAGAGGCGCGACGGAAGAGAAAGGCAAAACGAGGCAAGGGAGATGAAGACGAGTATGAAACAAGTGTGCGAAGAGGGCCGAGAATGCGCCAGAGAATGAGGGATAGTTGTAAAGCACCACATTGGGAACTCTCTGTTCCGCAGCTCTGGCTATGGCTTCCAAAGCAGCATCAGAACGGAAGCTCCGAAGTCTCGAATATGGCGATAATCCGGAAGAAGCCCCTCCCCCTTTTCGGAGAAGCAGGGGAACCATGGAAGGGCTTAGAAAATTTTAAGAACTAAATGATGTAGAATTTTAAATCTAAGGTTTAAATAATATCATTTTGTGGAAAAGTTTGAAACGGAAATGTCGGCATTTTTTTTAAATAATGTTTTTACTTAAACATTTTTAAATTAACGCTTCATTCAATAAAATTAAAGAAAAAATATTCTTTTGAAACTTATTCTATTTGTGAAAATTTCCCTCCAGACGACCACATTGACGTGACGCTATATTGACACCATGTATATATATATTTTTTAATCAAGACATGGTCGTCTCTTACCATGTGTTGGCCCGCATTTGTGGTCGTTTCGACTAGAGCGATACGGCCACAGGACATTGACTATTAGGAAAAAATAAAATATTATTATGTATTATATAGCGCCACATCATTGTGGTCGTGACCACTGCTGAAAATGACAAGAGACGATCAAGTGGGGGGAAATTTTCACAAACATTATTTTTTAAATAAGTTAAAAAAAATAATTTTTTCTTTAATTTTATTTAATGAAGCATTATTTTAAAAATAAGTTTAAATAAAAACATTATTTAAAAAAAAATCTAAAATGTCGTGGTCTCAATTTCATAGAAACATGGATAAAATATCGATTGATATTTATGTAAAAATTAGAAAAATTAAAAAAAATCATAAAAAATATTTAAATTAACAAATAAATATTTTCCTATTTTTAAATTAGTTAAAAATAATTCATATTAATATTATATATATATTAATAATATTTTGTTGATATTTTTCATATTTTATCGATCTTTTTGTACTATGATGAAAATGTCGATTTACCCTTCATGTCGATGTCAAACCTGTTTATGCAAGGGTCTACACAATGATAATTCACGAACCAAGCTCGAACCCGGTCTCTGGCTCGACCTGAACACAAGAGGGTAAACACTCCGACGCTCAAGTCAGTATAGGTCGGACTCTGTATCTAGTTCGAGGTGAGATTCGATACCTGAGCGTGAAATGAGGCCCTCTATTTATAGGTGGGAGATCCGACAGTACACACGACCGGCGGTTACATGTTTTTCTTCATGTCGGACCTGTCGGGTTCCGAGTAGATCGAACCCCAAACAGATCAGACTTCGGCATGTATACTTAACCTATTCCTGATGGGTGAACCCGACCTCTTTGGCAGGGCCGAGGTGGACCTAGGATATTTAATCCTTGAACACCAGTGAGCGTTTTCCACGTGTCCAAGGTATTTTTACCCCCAAACATTGGCCCCCTCTCTGTCAGGTTCGACCTCGACCTAGCAGAGAAGTTGATCCGAATCAATTTTGGACACGTGGCGATTTTTAATTCGTAAGAAGAATATGACCGTTGCGGAAGACGTTTCGATCTGCCAGGTTGTCGGAACACTCAAGTATTTCGTCGTTACAAATTTCGAGGTAATTCTAGCCGCTCGTTTATTACACATGTACGGCGCAGAGGGTTTTCCGATTAGCTATAAATAGTTCAGAGACTTCAGGTCAAACCTTACGTTCCCTGAATTTCTGGCGTTCGATCTGAAACCAGCTCGAACCCTTTGTAGGTCAGTTACTTTCCCTTGTTTTTAATCTTCTTTTCAAATATGGTAGTTTTCTTGTCTTCCCCTTCCAGTAGCGATAGCCTAGGTAGTGCAGGTCGGACCATAAGTAGTTCGCCCCCCAAACCAAGTGATTCTGGGGAGGACTTAGCTCTTAGGTTGGAGTCCGAGCTGGAAGAGATAGAGAACTTTAGGTTTTCGGACGATGGGGAGGATAGTGACACTTCCACCTCGGGCCAGGGTTTGGAATACCCTTCTAAAATGCCCGAGCATTATCTCGGACCCCTCCGTAGGGGGTTTAAAATTAAAAACAACATCCTCCTCAGGATTCCGGAGGAAGGGGAAAGAGCTGACAATCTTCCAGAGGGATGGGTCACTCTTTACTTAAAAATGTTTGAGTACGGCCTCAGACTTCCCCTTCACCCTTTTACCTAGGAGTTCCTCAACCGAACTGGATTGGCCCCTGCTCAAGTGGCCCCCAACGGGTGGGGTGTCATTTTTGCGTTGGCCATCCTTTTCTGGTTGCGAGCTCGGGACGTGGACGAGGGCGAGCTGCTGAACATTGAGCAGCTTCTTGGATGCTTCGAAGCCAAAAGGATTGCTAAGAAGCCTGGTCGGTACTACATGTGCACAAGGAAAGACGCGGGTGGTATAGTCAAGGGGTCGACCTCCATCAAAGGATGAGTAGGGAAGTGGTTCTTTACCTCTGGGGAATGGCTGGCAAAGGACGAGTCAGGTCGTACCTTCTTTGATGTTCCCACTAGGTTTGGGAACTTAGGTATGGAGTCTTTTTTGCTTCCTTTCCTTTTAATTTTTTGCCTCTACATCTAACCCGAACCTTCGTTTGCTTTGTGCAGTATCAATCAAACCAATTCTCGAGCTCACTCAAGCCACCTTCGACACCTTCAAGTACTACAAGGATCACTTCCCAAGGGGCCGGAAGATCGGAACTTTGGTCACTGACAAGTTGCTCCTAGAGTCGAGGCTATTGGATTACAACCCTTTAGTTCGTCAGATCGAAGCTTCAAGGCCAAACTCCAAACTCGGTAAGTCGAGTTCAATCTCATTTTGAATTTATATAGCAACTTCCATTTCTGACATCT